GCTCCTCCGTCCCCTCGGCAGCCAGACGTGGCGGAGCGTCCGGCACCAGGCCTTCACTCGTTGAATCCTCGAGAACCGGTAGAAGGCTGGGTTCCATATGTAAGACCTAAGTGGATCCCATATGTGTAAAGTCCACGGTATAGCCTTGAGCCCGTGTTTCCCCGGCAGACTTCTGCCATTCCAAGAGGGTTACAATCACCTCCATTTTTTCATATCCACCTAAGGGATGTCCATATGTGTACTGCTTCCGAAACCTCCTTCGGGAAGGTTGCAGCTTCCGTAACGTCCCTGTTCCAAGTAGAACGGGTACGTTTTCCCAGTGTTATCCAGTCTTACTCAGTGGGTAGTGCCATAGTAGCAGTAGCTGGTCCTATTGTGCAAGCCCTGGCCTACGCCAAAAAGTAGGGGCGCAGGTGGCTTCCACAGGACACTGGAAGGGGCGGTAGCTGTGGCCTTTTGGTAGGATCCCAATTCGTCGGTCATCCGACGTGACGTCGAGAGTGACCGACTGAAAGGGAATGTCTCGGTTACGTATGTAACCCTCGTTCCCTGAAGGAGGGAACGGAGACGTCACGTCCCGTCGCCACAGCTCCTGTACCACCGCTGAGCGGCCGGGTCACCGGATATATATCAAATATATATATTTGTTTTTTTTGTTGTTTTTTTTGTTGTTTTTTTCACTTTTTCACAGCAGTATTATTTATTGATTTATTTTTTGCTTTACCATAATGAGAAATTGAGGGTACTATTGCAAGGGGAAAAAAGTAAAATCTTAAAACAGGATTCAGTTTCTTTATGAAATATGACATGCACTTGATAATTCAATTAATTTTTATTAATTTTTTTAATATATTTCTTCATATTATATATATTTTCAGTATTTCGGTTTTTATATATTTCTTCATATTATATATACTTCAACTTCAACTTATTTATTTTGCTTTAAGTTTTTCATCAAATATTTTGGTTTTATTTATTTCTGCTTTATTTCAATTCACAAAAATGTTTGTTTTAATAATAATAACCCTGCTCTCTGTGTATTACGTCCAATGAATATAAAATTTGTCCCTCCAATTTATCCTTTTTTTTTTTTTATAATAATATATCAAAATACACTGAAAATACACTGAATTTTAGATTTGATGCTGCATTACATCATCTAGTAGAGAATGATTATGAAATGGCTTCATTGTAAGTGTGAATATTTACACCCCAATCTAACGCATCTCTCTAAAATCCCCATAATTCCTGGCAGGCAATCGCAGCTTACCAGATGCCAGATGCTGCACTTTTAAAGTTACATAAGACGCCACTGTAGCTGTCATGGGAATCATGTTAGTTGGTTTATTGCTACTGTGAGGAAGCGTTTGACTAGAATGATGGTTATATGGGTCTGTACCTGTTAGGATGTTCTTGAAGGCCTCCTCCACGTTAGTCGAATCCAGAGCGGACGTCTCGATGAATGACAGGTTATTTTTCTCTGGAAGCAAACAGAAGGTGTTTAATATCCCCTGCTCTTAAAAATATCCACTGACAACATAAACCTTCATGCAGAGCGAAGCTTGTTCACAAGACATGAGCGGAATGAATTTCTGTGCAAATTCAATTGCATGCATCAATTTGACTGCTTTTGGAAGACGTCTATTCTGCTCACCAAGGCTGCATTTATTTGATCAAAAATACAGTAAAAACTGTGAAATATTATTACAATTTCAAACAGCTGTTTTCTATGTGAATATCTGTTAAACTGTAATTTATTTCTGTGATCAAAGCTGAATTTTCAGCATCATTACTCCAGTCTTCAGTGTCACATGATCTTCAGAAATCATTCTAATATGCTGATTTGCTGCTCAAGAAACATTTCTGATTATTATCCATGTTGAAAACAGTTCAGTCATTATTTTGGCGGCAGGCTTTGTTCTGAAGGGTTCAGATTCTGAGCTGTCCACAAACAAACCTCACTGAGGTTTGACTAATGCAATTACCAGAATTTTTAATATGCAATAGATATAAACTTCCATGCAGAAGTTATACAGGTCTATAAATGAGACTGGTTTTTATCAGCTGTTTGGACTCTCATTCTGACGGCACCCATTCACTGCAGAGCATCCATTGCTGAGCAAGAGATGCACTGCTACATTTCTCCAAATCTGATGAAGAAACACACTCATCTACATCTTGGATGGCCTGAGGATGACGACGTTTTAGTTTTCATTTTTTGGTTGAACTATTCCTTTAATGGTCTAAAATACTCTGTAATTCTCCACAGCTTTGCATTATGCCTACATAAATCAGACAAACAAAAGGAGCAGCAGTTTTCCTCCTCAGCTCTTCAGAGGACTGTCGTGCGATGTCTCTAGGGTTGGCTGTACCTGCGAAAGCGCGCGCCTCGTCGGTGGGAACGGCTCTCAGGTGGCGCAGGTCGCTCTTGTTCCCCACCAGCATGATGACGATGTTGTTGTCGGCGTGATCTCGCAGCTCCTTCAGCCAGCGCTCCACGTTCTCATAGGTCAGATGTTTGGCGATGTCGTACACCAGCAGCGCGCCGACCGCGCCACGATAATACCTGCACACGTCAGAAAACCATAACCACAGTTTGAGCCAAAATATCAAACGTCACTATTTCTATTGCTCACAGTTTTAGTTTTAGTTCAGTTTTATTTATTTCATTTAGTTAGTAAATAAATGTAACTTTATTGTTCATTTTATTTCATTTTAGCAATGTTGCCTTGGCAACAATTTTTGTTTAGATGTTGTTTTTCATGTAATATTTATATTTTTTAAAAATAATAAATGTTTTGAATAGTTTTACTTTTATTAAATAAATTGTACTTTATTTTCTTTAATTTTAGCAGTGTTGCCTTGGCAACCTTTTTCAGTTTGTTCACTGCTTTTTTGTTTAATTTTAGTTTTTAGCTAACATTTATATTTTAAAAACATGTTTTTAATAGTTTTTCTTTTAGTTAGCAATAATAACCATGCTCTCACTATCACTATTACTTATAGTTAGAGTTCAGATTTAGTTTTTATTTTATTTATTTAGTTAATACATTTTATTAAATTATTTTTTATTTATTTAGTTAGTTAGTAATTTTAGCAATGTTGCCTTGGAAACTTATTTCAGGTGGTTGCCAAGGCAACATTCCTTTTTTCATGTGTTTTTTCCATGTAATATTCATATTTTAACAAATTAACAAAAATGTTTTTAATAGTTTTAGTTTACAATTATAACCCTGCTTTCACCATCACTATTGCTCATAGTTTTAGCTGTAGTTCAGTTTTACTTTTTATGTAATTTAGTTCGTAAATAAATTGTATTTTATATTTTATTTAATTACATTTTTAGCAATGCTAACTTGGCAAATTATTTCAATTAGTTGCTTATTTTCATTTAGTTTTAGTTTTTATTTCATTTACTTAGTAAATACATTTAATAAAAAAAAATATTTAGTTAATAATTTTAGTTTAGTTTATTTAGTTTAGTTGTAGTTTTTCATCTAATATTTATATTTTAACAAATTAACAAAAATGACTATTGCTCAGTTAGAGGTTTGATCACATTGCCAACACTAATAAAAAATACAATGGCTGAAAGATGAAAATAAAAATAAATGGCTGAGGTGAAGGATGCAAATGTTATTTTAGGAATGGGGAACCAAAACCACATCTGTTCACTTATCAACAGCCACAAATGCAAATTATTTTATATTGTGGCATATTTGTTACGTTTAACTTATATATAGGCCTACTTGTGTCTTTATCTTTTCCTGTTTTCTATGTGAATATCTGTTAAACTGTAATTTATTTCTGTGATCAAAGCTGAATTTTCAGCATCATTACTCCAGTCTTCAGTGTCACATGATCTTCAGAAATCATTCTAATATGCTGATTTGCTGCTCAAGAAACATTTCTGATTATTATCCATGTTGAAAACAGTTCAGTCATTATTTTGGCGGCAGGCTTTGTTCTGAAGGGTTCAGATTCTGAGCTGTCCACAAACAAACCTCACTGAGGTTTGACTAATGCAATTACCAGAATTTTTAATATGCAATAGATATAAACTTCCATGCAGAAGTTATACAGGTCTATAAATGAGACTGGTTTTTATCAGCTGTTTGGACTCTCATTCTGACGGCACCCATTCACTGCAGAGCATCCATTGCTGAGCAAGAGATGCACTGCTACATTTCTCCAAATCTGATGAAGAAACACACTCATCTACATCTTGGATGGCCTGAGGATGACGACGTTTTAGTTTTCATTTTTTGGTTGAACTATTCCTTTAATGGTCTAAAATACTCTGTAATTCTCCACAGCTTTGCATTATGCCTACATAAATCAGACAAACAAAAGGAGCAGCAGTTTTCCTCCTCAGCTCTTCAGAGGACTGTCGTGCGATGTCTCTAGGGTTGGCTGTACCTGCGAAAGCGCGCGCCTCGTCGGTGGGAACGGCTCTCAGGTGGCGCAGGTCGCTCTTGTTCCCCACCAGCATGATGACGATGTTGTTGTCGGCGTGATCTCGCAGCTCCTTCAGCCAGCGCTCCACGTTCTCATAGGTCAGATGTTTGGCGATGTCGTACACCAGCAGCGCGCCGACCGCGCCACGATAATACCTGCACACGTCAGAAAACCATAACCACAGTTTGAGCCAAAATATCAAACGTCACTATTTCTATTGCTCACAGTTTTAGTTTTAGTTCAGTTTTATTTATTTCATTTAGTTAGTAAATAAATGTAACTTTATTGTTCATTTTATTTCATTTTAGCAATGTTGCCTTGGCAACAATTTTTGTTTAGATGTTGTTTTTCATGTAATATTTATATTTTTTAAAAATAATAAATGTTTTGAATAGTTTTACTTTTATTAAATAAATTGTACTTTATTTTCTTTAATTTTAGCAGTGTTGCCTTGGCAACCTTTTTCAGTTTGTTCACTGCTTTTTTGTTTAATTTTAGTTTTTAGCTAACATTTATATTTTAAAAACATGTTTTTAATAGTTTTTCTTTTAGTTAGCAATAATAACCATGCTCTCACTATCACTATTACTTATAGTTAGAGTTCAGATTTAGTTTTTATTTTATTTATTTAGTTAATACATTTTATTAAATTATTTTTTATTTATTTAGTTAGTTAGTAATTTTAGCAATGTTGCCTTGGAAACTTATTTCAGGTGGTTGCCAAGGCAACATTCCTTTTTTCATGTGTTTTTTCCATGTAATATTCATATTTTAACAAATTAACAAAAATGTTTTTAATAGTTTTAGTTTACAATTATAACCCTGCTTTCACCATCACTATTGCTCATAGTTTTAGCTGTAGTTCAGTTTTACTTTTTATGTAATTTAGTTCGTAAATAAATTGTATTTTATATTTTATTTAATTACATTTTTAGCAATGCTAACTTGGCAAATTATTTCAATTAGTTGCTTATTTTCATTTAGTTTTAGTTTTTATTTCATTTACTTAGTAAATACATTTAATAAAAAAAAATATTTAGTTAATAATTTTAGTTTAGTTTATTTAGTTTAGTTGTAGTTTTTCATCTAATATTTATATTTTAACAAATTAACAAAAATGACTATTGCTCAGTTAGAGGTTTGATCACATTGCCAACACTAATAAAAAATACAATGGCTGAAAGATGAAAATAAAAATAAATGGCTGAGGTGAAGGATGCAAATGTTATTTTAGGAATGGGGAACCAAAACCACATCTGTTCACTTATCAACAGCCACAAATGCAAATTATTTTATATTGTGGCATATTTGTTACGTTTAACTTATATATAGGCCTACTTGTGTCTTTATCTTTTCTTGCATAAGAATTACTAAGAAAAAGTAGAACCAGGGTTAGTTATTATAGTTCACTAAAACTAAAACCATAAAAAGTCATTACTTGAAACAAAATAAACTTTAACTGAAATATAATAAAATACAAAGAAACTTAAATTAATTTTATTTCAGCTCAATTTTAATCAGCGACATTTTTCATTTTCGTTTAGTTTAACTTGGTGTACAAACATAACAAAACCTAAAATTTGCACTAAAAATAAATAAAAACTTGAAATGACAAATAAAAATGACAAAAATACACAACAAAATTACTAAAACTTTCAAATCAAAATTAAATAGTTAATAATTTTAGTTTAGTTTATTTAGTTTAGTTGTAGTTTTTCATCTAATATTTATATTTTAACAAATTAACAAAAATGACTATTGCTCAGTTAGAGGTTTGATCACATTGCCAACACTAATAAAAAATACAATGGCTGAAAGATGAAAATAAAAATAAATGGCTGAGGTGAAGGATGCAAATGTTATTTTAGGAATGGGGAACCAAAACCACATCTGTTCACTTATCAACAGCCACAAATGCAAATTATTTTATATTGTGGCATATTTGTTACGTTTAACTTATATATAGGCCTACTTGTGTCTTTATCTTTTCTTGCATAAGAATTACTAAGAAAAAGTAGAACCAGGGTTAGTTATTATAGTTCACTAAAACTAAAACCATAAAAAGTCATTACTTGAAACAAAATAAACTTTAACTGAAATATAATAAAATACAAAGAAACTTAAATTAATTTTATTTCAGCTCAATTTTAATCAGCGACATTTTTCATTTTCGTTTAGTTTAACTTGGTGTACAAACATAACAAAACCTAAAATTTGCACTAAAAATAAATAAAAACTTGAAATGACAAATAAAAATGACAAAAATACACAACAAAATTACTAAAACTTTCAAATCAAAATTAAATTTTTTTTTTTTTTACAAATTCTATTTCTAAATATTAATCAAAACTATAATAGTGCATCAATGATACTGAAATTGCACTGGGTAGAACTGTGGTATTCTTTGAAGTACTGTGTAAATAACGCAATACTAAATGGTAATCACTCAGTATTACAGTATATGTGGTTGTATTTATGACTGTACTCACGCAGAGGTGATGGCCCTGTACCGCTCCTGCCCTGCCGTATCCCAGATCTGCGCTTTTATCGTCTTGCCGTCCACCTGGATGCTCCTGGTGGCGAACTCCACTCCTATCGTGCTCTTGCTCTCCAGATTGAACTCGTTCCGTGTGAAGCGCGACAGCAGGTTACTCTTCCCGACGCCCGAATCTCCGATGAGAACCACTGAGAGCAGCATTTCATTTGTGTTCAGTAAAACTTTTTTTTTTTTTAATAAATTAATACTTTTAAATACCAAGGATGCATTAAATTGCTCAAAAGTGACAGTAAAGACATTTATAATGTTATAAAAGATTTCTACTTCAAATAAATGCAGTTCTTTTAAACTTTCTATTCATCTGTGAATCCTGAAAAATTAAATATATCACGGTTTCCACAAAAATATTGTGCAGCACGACTGTTTTCAACATTGATAATAATCAGAAATGTTTCTTGAGCAGCAAATCAGCATATTAGAATGATTTCTGAAGATCATGTGACACTGAAGACTGATGCTGAAAATACAGCTGCGCATCACAGAAATAAATTACAGTTTAATATATATTCACATTGAAAACAGCTGTTTGAAATTGTAATAATATTTCACAATTTTACTGTTTTTACTGTATTTTTGATTAAATACATACAGCTTTGTTGAGCAGAAGAGACTTCTTTCAAAAACCCCAAACTTTTGAATAGTAGAGCGCATAAACATACCAAAACGGTAAATATTCTTTGAGTCAAGCCAATAATTCATTCAAAAACACCTAGCTTACACAATAATTAAAGATTTAAGCCACCAAAATATGAGGAACTGCATCCTGGCGAATCTGAGACAGAGATAAAATATGAAAGGAAAACAGGTAAATAATCCCACTGTCATAATAAAAAATAGAGAATATAGATAACGAATAGAAAAAAAGATAATCACAATGTTTATGCTTTCACTGTAGCCTGCAAAAATGACATTAACCCCTATAATAATGGCTGTTCACATTATTTTGTCCTCCCCCTGTATATACATAAGAATAATGCAATATTATGCCAGTTTAATGACCAGTAAGAAAATATCAGTGGTTGGTCAATTTTCTCAATTCAGTTATCATTGACAAGTGTAACCAAAAGTTCATTTTGAACTCTCGTTCTCTCTTTCTTGGTTTTGAAGGCCCATTACTCAAGATCTGATTCCCATATAAGATCTGGAATATAAATAGTTGTATGGACTACTTGTAATGTCCATTTTTGGAGTTCAACACCCCCAGTGGCCTTCCACTTTCATTATGGCTCAGACAGTCTACAAAACAACATGTTGTGTTTCATGTATAAAACAAGGTCAGTAAAGGATGGCACAGTTTTCGTTTTCCTTTAAAGCTGTGAACGTGTTTGCATTGAGTTCCTTCGGCTCGGGCTGATATCCTCACGTCATCTTACTCGGAAGTCAAGTCGAACTTTGATCCTCACATTATGCTGATTTTGTGAAAATGGAATGTCACAGATTTGCCGCGTCAGACTTTGATCAGGTGCCGTGATACAATCAGTAACGAATCAGCTGCAGGACAGAACATCAGCATGTCGCCTCTTTATTATCACGCATGCTATTTTTAAATTTGCCGCGATCCTACCCAGCTAACAAAAATATGTTCTATGAATGTTGTGCTAACATTCCCATGAAGTTATGAATTATTGTTTTTTTTTTCAGTTTTCCCAGTTTCTTAACGTATTAAGAACATTTCTTCTTTATTGTGTGAACGTTACAGAAACATTATGAGGATTTTTGAATGTTCTCTCAACATTTAAAACACCCATTTTTTAATATCTAAAGAACGTTTTTTCTTAGTTATGATAACGTTAGAGGAGCATTTCATTGTAGCCTTTTAATTCTGAGAATGTTACATTTGAATGTTCTCTCAACGTTTAAAACACCCATTTTTATATTTAAATAATGTTTTTCTTGGTTGAATGTGAATGTTAGCGGAACATTCCATTCTACTGTTTTGAAAACATTATAAAATGTTATTTCTGAATGTTTTTTTTATGTGTTATTATTTCTTCTTAGATATGTGCAGTGTTGGGGGTAACGCATTACAAGTAACGCAAGTTACGTAATCAGATTACTTTTTTCAAGTAACTAGTAAAGTAACACATTACTTTCCATAAAAAGTAACTAAGTAACGTAATTAGTTACTTTTTTATGGAGTAACGCAATATTGTAACGCATTACTTTTAAAAGTAACTTTCCCCAACATTGATGATATGTGAACGTTAGAGGAACATTTAATTCTATTATTTTGAAAATATCATGAGAATGTTACATTTGAATGTTCTCTCAACGTTTAAAACACCCATTTTTATATTAAAAGAACGTTTCTTTTTAATGTATTACGAACGTTTCTTCTTGGTTATACGAACGTTAGAGAAACATTCCATTCTGTCACCTTGAAACGTTCTATTGTTATTACTGAAAAACGTTCCTGAACATAGTCCTGAGAACATACTAGTAACATCATAAGGACGTTCCGAAAACAATGTTCTAAGAACGTTTCCTCTCAACATTACGAGAACGTATCAAATATTAATAATGTCACAAGGACGTTCCATAGACAGAATTTTAAGAATAGGCCTATTTGTTCCAACATTTACATGACATTTACTCACGTTAGTGAACGTTTTAGCTGTTATAATCACTAGAAAGCATTAGATCGCAGTGCAAAATGAACCAGCACCCGTTTTTTGTTTTTATCTTAAATGAGAACATGAACTCAATGGAGGGCTGCATCTCATTTCAGGCTCATATATTTAATGCATGCTAAATCCCCATCATCCAGGCCCTGGTATATCCCGTGTGCAAGCATTCAGGCCATCGCAAACAGATGTTTCACTGATCGATGGATGTGTGTGGATGCCTCTGCGGGAGTTTCTGTCTCAAAGCCTGTTATTTATGCCATGCTTTCAGACGGGTGCCGCTGCGAAAGACGTTTCCTGATACAACAGGCTCTAAGATTGCTTGTCAGATCTGGAATAATGGATGGGTTATTAATGATTACTCCTCTGCTCTGTGTGAGGGAATGCAGAATTTACCTTTGAACAAGAAATCGTATTCATCATCTCTGTTGGCCATTGTAGAGAAGCCGCTCCGTCCTGCAGTCCGTCCAGAGGGAGGGAAATCAGATGATGATGTATTAATAACTCAGTGTGAGAAGAAAAGAATCAAATGAATATTAAAGACACACAATGCGCCAGTGCCGCCGCCGCCGCCGCTGCTGCTGTCACACCGCAGGAAGAGCGATCTGCTCGGTCTGCATTAGGGGAGGAGTCCCGCAGCTCAGCTCTGGAGCTCCGCGGCCGCCAGAGGGCGCTAGAAACACCGCTGCCCTGCTGGATAGATATTACCGCAGCTGTGTGTGTGTGTGTGTGTGTGTGTGTGTGTGTGTGTGTGTGTTTACACTCTCTTTATCACAAGATATCTGGGGTTTCTTTAGCTACACCCACTGTCATGTCCCAGGGGTTGTTTTTGTTTTTCAAGCTAACTATTTCTGTAGTTTAATGGTCTTGTTCACTTTTGTGCTTTCATCATTTATTTTTGCTACTTGATGTATTGTTTTTATTAGACGTTTAATCTTAAAATATGAAAATAGATCAGAATTTTACGATATAAATATTAAAATATTTATTATTATTACAATAAACATTCACATTGCAGTTTTATTCAGTTTCGCAGAGATTACAACCATCCCTCATTTCCAACAACAATTTAATAAAGTTTTTTCTCTCTCTCAGAAGCTTACAAAAGTGTCAGTAAAAAGCTTGGGATGAAATATGGGAATGAATATCAAGGTAAATGTTATTTGAGAAGAGCGTTTTTATTGTGTGTCAATTCCAGCTAAACAGTTTTGTCAGATTACGCAAGAAGTTTGAAATATTATTTAATTGGGTGATAATCAGCCTTAGTATAGAAGGAAAAATATACAGAAAAAACATATAGAAATGTTCAAATGTAATTTACATCAAAGAATGCTATTAATCACAATTTGTAATTTGAGATATGGTTGAAATTATATTATTAGTAGACAAATAAAGAAACACTTTATAATGTTTATTTATTTAAATATTTCAGTAATTAATTATTTTTTATTTATGAATTTTTAAAATCTTATTTCTTTTATTTTTAATGAATTGTATTTTTATTTATGTATTTTTATTTGTAATTAATTAATGTATTTATTTTTATGTATTTTTTTATTTTATTGCTTTTTATATTTGTATTTTTTAATTTATTTATTTATTCATAATAATTGCTTTTTTATTTGTTTGTTGTTTATTCATTGAATTGTATTTTATTTGTATTTATTTATTTGTTTTGCACGCAACAGAAAGGCACTTTTGTCTGTGGTCATGAAACTCTCTTCCTCTCTGTTTAGCGCTGCTGTTTTTGCCAAATGAAGAGTCTCTGAAAGGCTTCCTGGGAGAATCTATGGACTCACATGAGCAAACTACAAGATAATGGGGAACATCAGCAAGCTCAGAGAGGGAGCCAAGCATTGGAGGAATCAGAGGCCTGGAGGAAATATGTGAGCCGACCTTCCATGACCCCACTGTTTCCTGTACAGACAGGAAGTGAGGTGTAACTGCTGAATAAGCTTCCCAGCAGTGTGAAGACGACACATATATCATATACTAATATGGTTAGTGATTTGGGTTTTTGGAGTTTGGTTTTCAACATTTTCCTAGAGCTACAAAGCTGCAATGCATGAACTAATCCGAAGAAAATGTCAGAGTTTTAGCTGGAAACATTCATATTTTTAAGCAGCTTGGCAAAATGCTTGCATTCACTGTATGTGTTTGGCAGATGCTTTTATCCAAAGTGATGCCTTTTGTATGTTCCTGAAGACTCAAGCATCGTGCATCATTTGAGCCACTTCATAAGAGCGTTGAGTGTGAAGACATCTGAGGTTTTGAGGACGATTCTGGGATGATTGTGAGAGACTGTTGTCGAGGTGCGTGAGTCACATCACTTCCCATGGTAACATGCAAATGAAGGCTTGATTTAGATTCCGTCACATGACTCAATGCAAAACAACGACAGAAGAGTTTCTCTCTTAACAAAAGAAATAACTGAAGTGTGTGTCTGTAACAGACAAACTGTAAAACTGCAAGAAAAATCACAAATGAGATTGTTTCTCCTGGACAGCAGTTAGATTAACCCTATAAAACCGACTGTATCAAACAAGGCCTCTAATGATCAACATGATGAAAACTTCGCTGTTAAACCGGTTTCACACACAATCTCCTCCATGCCTTCTGATTGATCGTTTAGAGTATTTTATCCAGTCAAAGCTTTGTTAGTGTAACTGTACAAATGTACACCTTCAGCTTGAGCTTCACGTGTCTTTCTGCTGTCAAATCTTGACTGATTTTTATCAAGTAAACATAAGAATAACTTTAGTAATATTTTCAGATGAACACTTACTGAACTGAAGCAGCTTGGCTTTACTTGATTCTCCATAAGATCCTGTTCAAATGTGAGTCTCAAATCTGATCATCAGGCTTTTGAGGAGCGTTTATTTGTTCATCTCTCGATCATCATTGGATTGCATTGCATTATATGTTTGGATCTTTTAAATCTCATCTTACTAAGACACATTATTGGAGATATTTATTTATATTTATAGCATTTTATGTAAGTGTCTGCTGTACTGTTATAAAGATCTCATTGATTTACATTACAAGCATCAGAATTTCATCACTTTTTGTGCATATGAATATCAGCATCTGCACCAAATTGCATTTTTTTTCCTCAGTTTGAGTCTCTTTTTTCTTCCATATTCTCACGATATCAGACTATATGAGCCATGAAAGCCCGATGTAACAAAGATACAGACATAAAACACAAATGCAGACTTTTTTTAGATTTTGTCTAAAGTTTCAATAAACTATTCCATTAAAAAAAAAAAATAAATCTTATTATTATTAAGGCTTTACAGGGTTAAATTGCAAGCAAGTTAGGTCTCAGAAAAGGACCCCAACAGTTATAATGCATATATAACACATAGTGTACAACACACGTGTGTTTCTCCTGACAGACACTAGAGGGTGTAGTGTGCGTGTCATGTACTCAAGTGTACTCAGAAAGGGTTGAAGCTGCATGTTTTTCACTTATTATGTTGCGTTTGCTTTTCTCTGGAACGCCACAGTCAGGATGAATTCTCAATGAGTTGTTTTTTTTTTGCTGAGGAACACCTTTTTTCTGTCGAATGACCCCTGTATATCCTGAAACCCATGCAAAATTATGTCCTAAGGACGTTTTGTTAACGTTCTCATTCAGTTAGAAAAACGTTAATTCTGAATGTTCTGTGAATGTTCGAAATTCCACAAAAACGTTATAGGAATGTTAAAGGTGGGGTAAGCGATTTCTGGTAGCCAATGTTGACATTTGAAATCACCAAAACAAACATGCCCCTACCCCAAAAGTGTCTCACTCCTATTTTGATAGCTCCACCCCACACATATGTACGCAACCCAGGCAACGATTAGTTCTGTGAAACAAAGCAAAACTGCTGCTGCGTTCCATTCATGACGTATTGACACAAATTTCAAATGATTTTCAGCGGTCGCTTTGTCATGTCCAGTGTGCTAGATAGACTTTAGCTGTTGCGGCGCAGACACGGTGTTACTCACCTATCGAGAAGAAACAAAGCAACGTCTGTGTCCGATCGCAGGCCTTCCGCTCCTTGAGTTCTCTTCAGAGCTGGAAAGCTGATCCGATATTTACACGGGTCCTACTTCTTGCCTTATCGTTCCGCAGACGTTTTCCTCTTTTGTTTTTTATCCGCCATCTCTATCTTTCTGTTCCTCGGCTCGCTAATGTCCGTCCCGTGCACTGAACGCGCTCTCCTCCACATCATGAGTAGACACGCCCCTTACTGCTGATTGGCTACAAGTTTGTTTTGCTATTCGGCCCGAATCGGTTTTCTAAAGTGTTTTTGAAAAATCGCTTACCCCACCTTTAAGGGAACATTATGAGAATGTTACTTGTGAATGTTCTCTAAACATTCTAAAACAAACAGTAACATTAAAAAAAACTGTAATATTTCAGGAAAAAGCGTTCTATGAACAATATATAAATGTATGTTGTGCTAACGCTTTGTTAAAGCCCAGATAACTTTGAAGGAACATTGTATTAACGTTCCTGGAAGAACGTTTGTTCATAACCTTTCCAGAACCTTCTGATAACATTCCCTGCTTGCTGGGAACATCATATGTTCAGAGTACTTTAATATTAAGATTTGCTTCTAATTTCATTTTTCATGTCAGGAATGATTTCTTTAAAAGGGTGTATTAAGACACATATGATGGACATGATCTAATTCCTAGCAGAGATGCTCAGAGCAGATCTTAACTTTGGCAAAGGTAATGAATCCTGCGGCAATGTGAATACGACATTATTCCAAATATACTTGAGGTAAGACGTCTCAAATCCCTCATGCATTAGCTCACGTGAATCTAGAACATGAAGTGATTTTGACATCTTTTTTTTCGGTGTAAAATGTGGCAGAGCTGTCATTTTAATAACCCACGTAATGGACTTGTTAAGGGCTTGTATCAGATAGATGTGCTGTTCTACCTGCTCTCAGAGATCTGTGTCTCTCGGCTGATTGTCAGGGGATTGACGTCCTCAGAGACGCTTTTATGAAGCTGTGAGTGTCTGTCATCTGATGTTCTCTCATTCATTTGCACCTGCAGCTCCTGCGGCCTTTCTTCACTGCTCTGTGTTCAGTACAGCTGCTGAGGACACCTGAACTACAGACCATCAGCACCAGATCGATGGAGACTGATGGACGTCAAGCAGTAACAGGAAACATTTAGTGGTGCTATTATAGACACAAACTGTAGTTTTTATTTTATTTGTATTAATTTGATTGCAAAAAAAAATTTAATGATAAAATGTATATCTGTTTTAAAGAATAGTTTTTTCTTTTTATTAGTGAAATTGAACTATGAAATTAACCTAAAGCCTAAAGTTAAACCCAAGCTTAAACCTAAAACCTAACACATTTGATTTTATTTGATTTGATTAAAGACATTTTATTTAGGAAATTTTATTTTCTTTTTATTAGTGAAATATAAACTTAATGGAAAGTGGGGTTCATGAAATTGAACTGTGAAATTGAAACCTGAAGCATAAACCTAAAACACATTTATTTTATTTTATTTTAAATTGTATTTTTTATTTATTTAATTTTATTTTAAATTGTATTTTTTATTTTATTTTAATTGTATTTTTTATTTATTTAATTTTCTAATTTAATTTTATTG